ACTTTTCAGAAAACATTTTTACTATAATATATGTTAACTGTATAATATAAATGTGATTTTAAGGTAATGAAACTGATTTTCAGCTTAGATACTTTAATTTACAGCCACATCTCATACACATTATACTTGCAGTTGCGTGTCGCTTAACGACGTGGATATGTTCTGAGAAATGCGTTAATTAGGCAATTTTGTCATTGTGCAATCACAGAGTGTACTTACACAAACCTAGATGGTATAGCCTACTACACACCTAGGCTATATGGTACTAATCTTATGGGACCACTACCATATATACAGTCCTTCGTTGACTAAAATGCTGTTATACGGCACATGACTAAATTACAATTTGACCCTCTGCTGAGAGTGGAAGTGAATCATTTTAGAAAAGAGTTTTTGTATAATAAACATAATGGAACTTTAAAAATACAACTTGAGGAGCCAGCCCGGTGGTGTAATGGTTAAGTTTTCGCACTCCACTTCTGGCATCCAGGGGTTCACAGGTTTGGATCCCGAGCACAGACCAATGCACGGCTTATCAAGCCATGCTGTGGCAGCGTCCCACATAAAGTAGAAGAAGATGGGCATGGAAAAAAAGAGGAGGATTGGCAACAGGTGTTAGCTCAGGGCTAATCTTCCGCACACACACAAAAAAATACAACTTGAGAAAGTCTTTGTGTATTAAAATTAATAGAACTTTAAAAAAATAATAGAACTTGACAAAGTCCTTTCACATCCACTCTTAGGTAGTGATGGGAGCAGTGGAGAGGCAGCCGAATTGGAAAGTAGTTCCTGAGATTAAGTGAACTTGACTTGGTAACTGAATGTGGGGGTACTAGTATGTGAGAGAGTACTGGAGACGGCTCTTGAGCTCTACTTTGTGTAGCAGGGTGGACTATGGGCAAGACAAGAACTAGAGGAGGCAGGTCAGATTTGTGCAGGATGAAAATGAGTTCTATTCTTGACAGGTTCAGTTTTCATTGACTCTAGGACATTCATATCTAGGTGGAATGAATGTCTAGCAGGTAGCTGGATGCATAGGTCTTGAACTCAGGAGAAATACCTTGGATTATTTTATATACAACCTATGTAGTAATAATTTACATTTATAGAATACATTATATAATAAATGACATAAATCAGTTACCAAGTCAAAAAATCATGTATTATTGGTACCCATATTGTGTACACCATAGCCTTAAAAGGCCATGAAAGTCTCTGAAAGATCATCCTCAGGTTACAGAAATCAAGAGTAATACCTTGAATGGAAACTGCCTCATCCATAAACAAAAGGGCTTCCTTTGTATTGATTCTACAACTTGCAGCTTCTATAAATGGATACTTGTTAAGAAATATTTTGTTCCTGCTAAGCTACAACCTCCTGTAGTCACTTTGATTTCCCTCCTCTGAGCTTCCACTTAGAACGTCCTATGAAAATGGGAATCATATCCCAAATCTCTAAGTAAACCTTCCCTCCTTAAAGAAATTTTCCATTGCTCTCTGTATTACTTTTTACTGCTGCATAACAAACTACCCCAACACTTAGTGGCTTAAAACAATATACATTTATTTCACAGATTTCATGGGTCAGGAATTTGGGTCCTCTGCTTCGGGGTCTCTCAAAAGGCTGCAATCAAGGTGTTGACCAGGGATAAGGTCTCATCTGAAAGCTCAACTGGGGAAGGCTCTCCTTCCAAGTTTAAACAGTAGTTGTTGGCATTTAGTCTCTCATTGGACTGAGAGACTCAGTTCCTCACTAGCTGTTCGCTAGAGGCCATTCTCAGTTCCTTGCCACATGGGGCTCTCCTAAATGACAGCTTGTTCTATCAAAGAGTACAAGCCAAAAATGCAACAGATAGAGTCTGCTAGCAACAAAGAAGTCACAATCTTTTGTAACCTAATTGCAGAAATGACATCTCATCAACTTTGCCTTATCCTATTGGTTAGAACAAGTCACTATGTCTATCCCACACTCAAGGGGAGGGGATCACACAAGGGCATGAATACCAGGTGGTGAGATCATTGAGACCATCTTAGAAGTCTGCCTACCATACTCACTAATATTTACCAACCTATAATGTCAAGACAAAAAGAGGAGTTAACTCCAATAAATGCTAATTTTTCTGTATGGAGTTATGTGATGATATACATGTCTGGGACCTTTAATTTATTGGTTTCTCAATGACAGTAACTAATCATTAAACTGTTTGCTGTGTAGTATTATTCTGGAAGGTCAGGAAATATATACTGACTGACAAAGATACATAGAACAATACATGAAATAAAAAGTGTGTTTCTGTCTCAAGTTACTTGGAAACTCTAGTTGAGACTTTTTAAAAAGTGCTTTTTAGCATATTCTTCCAAAAGGGGCTTTTACAATTATTCTCAAGACCTTACAACATTTTTTTTTTCTACAAATACAAATTTCTTAACGTCTGTCAAAGTGTAAATCTTAGAGTATTTTATGCTGAACTTACAAATGTGGCACTGAAGACAAGTCTTGCTTGTAGTCTGCCAAATTTCTGCCACACAGAAAAATACACAGATGATTGTTTAACACTGTGTGCCACTAGACAGGAATTATATTTGACATCTTAAAGAGAAAATACTGTCTGTTAAACTTAACTTGTTGCATTAAAAAAAAACCAATTAATAATTCAACCATTTTAAACTATTTTAAGTACCAGCAGTCACAAAGAGATTTTCAATTCTATGAAAAGTAGAATCCAAAATGAACTTTCAGAATATAATTTTATCATTTTTTTAAACCTGATTACTAAAAAAAAAGGAGAAATAAAAAGCCATATTCCCACCACCAAGAAATAACCACTATTAAATATTTTGGGATATAGATTTAGATGAGACTATATTCCTTTTTATAATGATATATGAAATTGTTATAAAACAAAAATTAACAGAGCAACTGGTTTTCAATGAGGCTTGCTAAACATGTTTCTAGCAAAGTAATGTTAGCGGCAAGTTGTTAAGTGATACACAGAGCAATGGGATGGCCCTGAATACACTGCTGAAGCTGTTGTTCCCAAATGAATAACTTATAAAACAGATAAGGGCATCTGATTTGTGCCATAGTGTTTTAGCCATATTATTTTGACCATTCTTTTACTTCTTCATATCATTCTGTAGCTTTTTATTCTGTTAGGTATCCCCTCCTTAAATTCTTTCCCAGTGTCTCAATCTAAATTATTAGTTTCTGAATCACTGAATTATTATTTGTTCTTCTTAGAACAAATCTCACCTCTGATGAATCTTTCTCTGACATCTTAGTCAGCTTTGCTTCCTCTTCCATCCAAATTAGTTGGCATAGTTATTGACTTGCTATTTCTCTTTTCCCTACTTTCTCCCTCACTACCATTTATGGCCTCATGGTTTCAATATACTCTGGAAACTATTAAACCTATCTCACCTCACACTTAACACATGTAAACCAAACTTATCTACTTCCCTTCAAATTACTTGCCACCTCTCCTTTCTCCAGTATTGTTCCTTTATCCTAGCTAACACCTGGGAATTATCTTCAACATCTCCCTCCCTTGATCCTACTCAATCTCACTCTATTAAATCACGCTCCAAGATGCCTCCTAAATTTGTTCATTCCTTGTCACTTTATTTGCCTTCACCCTTATCCAGGCCAAGACTGTGTCACAACTGGACTTTAGCAACTAGTCCTGAATGGAGATAGAGTTCATCTGTCCCCACCCCCTGGTCCTTCTTCCTAGGCTACTCTTACTGTAATGGTCAGTGAGATATAAGGAAAGGGGACCCGGGCTTGAAGTCAGGAGCCCAAGCGTAAATTCCCTCTCTGCCACCTCAGGTGTGACCTTAAGCATATATCTTCCTCTCTCTAAGCCTGGGAATTTCCTTATCTGCAAAATGGCAAGTTAAACTGTCCACATGGGCTCTAAGCTGCCCTGTAACTCTAACAAACTTCTGCTCTGATGCTTCTTTGTTCAAGGAATAGCAATGGCAACCTTTCCAGCATGCCTCCTCTCCCCCAAGATCACAGCTGTTACTGTTTTCCAGCTTCTACTGTTCGTTACATCCAGATTGCTCACTTTACCATATCCCTAATGAGCCCCACTCCTTCCACTGTAAATGTCAATTCCTTTGTTCCACTGTTCTTCTCCTTCATTTACAAATTATTCATTTTACAAACACTTATGCAGTGACTGCTAATGTACAAGGCACTTTGCTAGGTCCTGGGAATAGCGAAGTAAAAGACATAATCCTTGCCCTCAAAGAATTTACCATCTTACTAGAGATACAGGTAAGTAAAAAACATATAGTAGTGTGATAAGTGCTATGCTAAAAAACTTAATATATCCCAGTTTGGGGGGCAGAAAGGAGCATTACTTAACAAGACTATCTAGAAAGTCTTCAGAAAGGATGCGGAAATTCCAAACTGAGTCCTTGAATCTTAAAAGAGAAAAAAAGAATTAAGGAGGAAAGAAAGTGTGTCCTATTGCTACCTTGAGGAGCAGAGGGGAGAGAGGAAATTTTTTTTAGAACAGTGCATATTGGGCCAAATGCCACATTCGAATACTGGAGTATAGAGGGCAAGAGGCAAGCAATGAGGCTGTTCAAAATGAACGGACTGGAATGTCACCCTAAGAAATTTGGATTTTATCTGAGGAAAAGGTGGAGTATGGGCTGTACTTTCATTCAGAGAATTCATTTCCTGATCTTTACCAGGAAAAGGTGGTTATTGGGCACTGAAACGTTCAAATGCTGATGGCAAGGATAATCCAGTAGGGGGAAATGGTGGCCTGCCAAAAATTATTCTGAGACTGCTTGATCCACTAAAAGGCTAATGTGACCGATGCCTTACGGCCTCATCCTGCTAACCAGCCTCCAATCGCACCCTGCCTAGGGTCCACCATCAATCCCCGGTTGCAGCGTCACAGAGAACCCGACACGTGAGGCCACAAGGGAGGGAGCTTCCATAGACCTCGCGAGATTTCCCTTGAGCCGCGGCCCCAACAGAAGAGTCTGGTCGCCCAGCAACCGCAGCCCGGCTGCTGAGGAACCTGGCGCCAGCGAAATTTACCAAGTCACAGTGACTGACCCGGCTTATCCCGCAAGCGGTGAGATAACTTCAGGGAAGAAACGTGGGAACCGAGGAAACCCTAGAGCCACGTTTCTCAAACTTGCATGCCAGTAAGACTTTCTCGGGCCACTTGTTAAAATGCAGATCCCTAAGCCTTATCTCTAGACCTAGAATTTCCAGAAAAACAGTCTGGAAGTCTATTATAAACAAATGGCTAGAATCAGGCAAGGTTGGGAAACGTTTGCTCTAGAGGAGGGAGACACAGGTGGCTGCGGAGCTGAGGGAGTGGGATCTGTGGGCGTGGATCTGAGTTTGAAAGGGGGAAAGTCTGAGAGCGGGAGCCAGCGATTTAGAGCTTCTGGAAGCCACTGAGCCTGGGGCTAACTAAGGGAAATAGAAAAACTGAATTCGGAAACGTCCACCGCATCTAGCCTGTAGGAGCCTAAAGAGATGAAAGCCAAGGGGTCCACTACAGTGGATTCCCAGAGCGCCTGTAAAGCAGCTCTAAACTGTCTCCCACTGGCCATCTGAAGAGAGAGAGATATCCTAGCAAGTGAAGCCCCGCGATAACAGAGATATCTAGTAAGGAAAAATTATGAAAAAGCAGTTTCTCAAACTTGAGAAAATAATGAACCTCTTTTAGAAGAAAATCAAGGAACACCCCACAAGTGTGTCCTTAATTATGTTGACATAATTATTTTTATTATAATATTCTAAAATGTATCCAAATCCAAACTAGGTTCAGTTTAAACTCCCGACGCTTATAATTTCTCTAAAATAAACTACAATACTAATGAAGTTTAAATTAAAATTATATTAACAGGATGAATGGTGGTGTTTTGATGAAACTCAATCCTCCCTTGTGGATTTGACTGCTACAATGCAGGTTCTTTTGAGTTAACAGTCTCTTATTATTGTGTGTTATGCGTTGATTCAGTTCTCTCCCTTTCCATATTCAAGCCCCTGGAAAGTTTTCCTCTAGCTTGCTGATGAGGTTCATTGGCCTCCCCTTAATAACTACTTTATTTATATATTACCTTTGCCTCTTTCCTTTTCCAATTATCTGACTTAAGTTTATTACTATCCAAACACCAATTTGTGCACTGAAACCTAGAGACAAAATCCATTTATAGCATGGTCACTGATGAGGATTCAGATGATCCAAAATTTGTCTGTTGTAGCCCAGGGTAGAAAGCAGAGCCTGAAGCCAAAATACATTTTTGGGTATAATACTTTTACTTTTTGGGGGGCTGTTATCTCAGAGAAGCAGGAGAGAGGGAAAAAAGGAATGAGGCAGAGAGGGAAGGAGAGCAAATATAAGAGCATTTGTAACCCAGAAGACCACAGCATGTTTTCAGAGAGACTTTTTGAAATGGCTGTGTCTCCAAAAAGTCCATGGGGGAAAGAAGGGAGAATAAATCCTTAGTGGCTCCTGTCTCCCACTGGTCATGTCCTTCATAGTACAGGGTTGCTCCAAATGGCCACCTGTAAACTAACTCTCCTGCCTCAGCTGTAAGAGAGAAACTCCGAGGTGTATAACCTCTTTCAGATGTGCATTTTCACCACAGTTATCAGTGTAAAAAAGATATTTGAAATTTCCAGAAAAAGTTCTAAAATTTTAAAATAAGAGCCAATCATATTTTAAAATATTTTGAATATTTTAACTATTTTTTAATATTGCATTTCTACTTACTAGCTACAGAGAATCTAATTCCTAAAAGAATGACATTTGCAATATCAACAAAAATATATGATCCCTAAGATTGACTCTAGAAAAACTTAAGCACGGCCTTAGAAGAAAATTATAAAACGACTGAAAGTCATTAAAGAAGCACTCTCAAAATGGAGAGACACACCATAGTGCTGGAAGAGAAGACTCAATATTAGAGAGATGTTAGTGCTTCACAAATTGTTTATAAATTCAATGCAATTTCTAACAAAATCCTGACAGGATTTTTTCATAGAACATGACTAGTTGATTTTAAAATGTATATGAAAGACTTACAGAGGAGAGGATTCTGGGAATATGGCAGAGTAGGAAGCACCTGTCTCCCCACCGAGACATGAACTGTACTGGCAGAATCTGTCTGGTGTAACTATTTTAGAAGGCTGGAGTCTATTGAAGGCTCACAACTTCCAGGGGAGGGCTTAGACAGTAAACTCTGGTTAATTTTGGTCAATTTCAGCTCTTATCTCTACAGCAGCTACCCATTCCCCACACCCAACCCCAGGGCAGGAAGCTGTGCAGGGCTTTCTGGAGCACCTTACACACAGCTTGCAGGAGCCAAGGTGCGCAAAAAGCAAATATCAAAGATCTGTCCTCTGATCATTGATTGCTGCTTCTGATCACAGAGATGCAGATAAAGAAGTTGCACCTCTCCCCATTGTTGCAAGCCCCTCCCTCTCCAGCTGAAGTGACTTCCAGGGGATTTAAAGGGCTAGTGCCCCCCCCTTCATTTTTCTCTTTTTCCCTCTTTGGAAGCCAGACTTTAAAGACTAGGACATTAAAACGTAACTGCATATAAAGCGACAGTTAGAAAGTGACTCTGCATGCCCAAAGAAAAGCTCAGGCTCATAAATGACCTGAGAACACCTTAAGTTTACACCTCAGGCTGATCCTCAGCACAGAGAGCCTACATCAATCAAAAGAAGCAAAAACAATAAGAAAAAACAGCAAACTCTGGGGAAGGGGGAGAATCTGATTTTCAGAGTTACCACATTATTAGATTCAAATGTCCAGTTTTCAACAAAAAAATCAAGGCATACAAAGAAATGGAAAAGAAAGTATGACCTATTCAAAGGAAAAAAATAAATCAACAGAAACTGTCCCTGAAAAAGACCTGATGCCAGACATAGTAGACAAAGACATTAAAAGAACTGTCTTAAAGATGTTCAAAGAACTAAAAAAAAATGTGGATAAAGTTAAGACAACAATGTATGAACAAAATGGAAATATCAATAAAGAGATGGAAAAGCTAAAAAGAAATTCTGGAGCTGAAAAGTATAATAACTGAAATGAAAAATTCACTAGAGGGCTTCAAAGACAGATTTTAACAGGCAGAAGAATGAATCAGTGAACTGGAAGACAGGACAATGGAAATCATTGAGTCCAGAAACAGAAAGAAAAAAGACTGAAGAGAAGTGAACAGAGCCTAAGGGACCTGTTGGACATCATCAAGAAGATCAACATATGCATTGTGGGAGTCCCAGAAGGAGGACAGAGAAAGAGAGAATGGTACAGAGAAAATATTTGAAGAAATAATGGCTGAAAAATTCCCTAACTTGATGAAAGACTTGAATATAACATGCAAGAAGCTCAACAAACTGCAAGTAAGATGTACTTGAAGAGACCCACACTGACACACATTATAATCAAACTTTCAAAAGACAAACAATCTTGAAAGCAGTGAGAAATGACTCAGCACATACAAGGACTCCTTACCAAGATGATCAGCACATTACTCATCAGAAGCTTCAAAGTTAGAAAACAGTGGGCCAATATATTCGAAGTGCTAAGAGAAGAAACCTGCCAGCCAAGAATCCTATATCCTGAAAAACTGTCCTTTAAAAGTGAGGGAGAAATTAAGATATTTCCTGATAAACAAAAGCAGAGGGAGTTTATTACGCCTAGACCTGCCCTGCAAGAAATGCTCAAGGGAGCCCAGCAGGGTAAAATGAAGGACACTAGACAACAACTCAAAGCCATATGAAGAAATAAAGATCTCAATAAAGGTAAATACATGGGCAATTATAAAAGCTAGTATTGTTGTAACAATGGTTAGTAATCCCACTTTTAATTTTTCTCCATGATTTAAGATACTAATACATTAAAAAAACAATAATGAGTCTAAAATCTAGCATTATCATAACTTTGGTTTGTAACTCCACATTTTATTACATAATTTAAGTGACCAATGCATTTAAAAGAATTGTTAGTTTATGTTTTGGGGCATACAGTGTATAAAGATGTACAAAGATCAACAACCAAAAGAGGTGAGGACAGAGCTGTAAAGGAGCAGAGTTTTTATATATTATTTAAGTTAAGCTGGCATATATTCAAATTAGAGTGAAATAACTTTAGAATGCTAAATGTAATCCCCATGGTAATCACAAAGAAAATAGCTATAGAATATACACAAAAGGAAATGAGAAAAGAATTTAAAAGTTTCGCTACAAAAAAATCAACTAAACACAAAAGAAGACAGTAAGGCAGGAAATGAGGGACGAAAAAGCTACAAGGCATATAGGAAATAAATAACAAAATGACAACGCACTTAATGACAGACCATCAAAACATATGAAGCAAAAACTGACAGAAATGAAGAGAGAAATGGACAGTTCTACAATAATAGTTGTAGACTTCAACATCCTACTCTCAATAATGGATAAAACACCAGACAAAAGATAACTAAGGAAATAGAGTACTTAAATAACATAATAAACAAACCAGATCTTACAGGCATATACAGAACACTACCTAACAACAACATGCACATTCTTCTAAAGTGCATGTGGGACATTTTCCAGGATAGACCATATGCCAGGCCACGAATTAAGTCTCAATATATTTAAAAAGATAGTATCATACAAAGCGTCTTCTCTGACCTCAAGGATATGACGTTAGAAATCAATAACAGAAGAAAAGTTGGAAAATTCACAAATTTGTGGAAATTAAACAACACACTCCAAAACAAGCAATGGATCAAAGAAGAAATCACAAGAGAAATCTGAAAATACTTAGAGATGAATGAAAATGAAAACACAACACACCAAACTTATGGGACATAGCAAAAGCAGTGCTAAGGGGAAACTTATGGCTATAAATGCTTACATTAAAAAACCAGAAAGATCTCAAATCAACGGTCTAACTTTACAACTTAAGGAACTAAGAAAAGAAGAACAAACTAAACCCAAGGCTAGAAGAAAGAAGGAAAAAATAACTATTTGAGCATAGATAAATGAAATAGATATCAGAAAAACAAGAGAGAAAATCAATAAAACCAAAAGTTGGTTCTTTTAAAAGATCAACCCAATTAA